GGGGAGGAAAGGAGTGTGCTGTCACAGTATGGGGAGAGCAGTTAGGGTCACATAACAATGTATGTATAAATTTTTGTATGAGAGACTAACTTGAAATGTAAATTTTCACTTAAACTACAAAAATAGACAAACAAACAAAATAAAGCAGGAGTGGCTGGAAGGGTTAGGAGGTGGCCAAAAAAAAAAAAGACTTCTCAACAGTAAGAAAGAGAAAGTAGTATTGAGGAAAAATATCCATGAACTGAATTACATACCCAATATAACTATCTTTCAAAATAAGGGCGACATAATAAAACAACTTTACCACGGATAGTCTTTATTACCAACGAACTATTATTTAAGGAACTTCTCAATGGGGTAATTAGGAAGAAGAAAAATGGAGAAAGAAGGTGTAAGCTGTAAGAAGGAAGAGTAAGCAAATCAATGGTAAACACGCTAGACAAGCTAATGTGGCGTCTATAGAGACAGCTGAAGCTCACATTAATATGGCACTTTACAGCTTAAAAAAATCTTTCAATGATAGAGCATTTCTTCCTCCACTGTATGACACCAAAATAAGATATACCATCAATTCAATTATATGATTTCAAAATTATAATTAAAATTAGTATCCTAAAACTGATCAGTTTAATAACTGCATGAAATCGGTAGCATGTATGTTACTGCTTCAGAAGAGTTAAGTGGTCTCACAACAAGTCAACAAGAGAGCTGGAATTTAAATTCCATTCTTCACCCACACAATCTCCTGTGCTAGCAGCCCTTCTGAAGAAGCAAGGCTCAGATTGGTAACTCTAGTGGATTTCAAGTATCTCATTGGTCCACACAAAGATTCTAATCAGCCATTCTGCATCGTCTGCCTGGAAGGCCCTTTCTTCCCTGCAAAGTCAAATTCTCCCCCAACTCTGAGGGGTAAATGTCAGAAGTCCCCTCTAGCAGCTCTGCCAGTACTCAGGGCCCACCTCCTGCTCAAATTGCAGCTGGAGTTTAGATCAGCCAATACCTCACGGCTGAGTGCTCAGCTCTAGTGTTTTTAGTTGTCATGGCATCATGTCTTTCCGCTCTGGAGAGACCATAAGCCCCTTGAAGGTAAAAATCCTGTCTCTCATTCTTTTTTTCTCCCCCCACCTCTCACAGAGCCAGAATAGTGACGGGTACAGTTAGCATTTGGAAAAATGTTTGCTGACTGATTTTCTTTCCCCTTCAAATAAGATGTCACTCCCTAGATTTTATGAAGCTCTAGGCCAACAGAAGTATATTTCCAAAGCAAAGGAGACTTGAAAGAAATCAAGGACGAATTCTAGAGACAATGAACCCCTCCGTGGCTTTCATTCTCTCTTCCCTGGAGGTAGGCCAGGATAATTTCAATTTTAGAAAGATGGATTTTAGATACTCAATTGTATTATTGCATATTAGTTTAAAAAACATCCATATAGCTAATTTAGCTAAACGAAGACTATTTAGAACATGAGTTCAATTTGGCTTAGACATTAGAATCATTCTCTTGGGTAGATTAAAGAAATGAGAGAAAATGAGTACCTTGCCAGTTCCAGGAGGTCCTGCCAACAAGACAGCTCTTCCAGCCATTTTCTTGCTTTTGATTAACTCTACTATCACGCCACATGCCTACATGCAACAATGAAAAGAAACAATAAATCAATATTAAAATGTTCCACAGGGGGGAAATATCCGGTCTCTGGTCCACACAATGTGCACGTTCATTCAATAATACTGAGAGCCAGTAGGTTGCAGGCACTGTTGTAGGTGCTGGAGGCAGTGGTGAACAAGCCAGAAAAGCCTGTGCTCACGGAGCTCATGTTCTAGTGGAGGAGACAGGCACACACGAGCACTAAACAAGACCATTACTCTGAAGGAAAAGAAGAGCTGGGGTCAGTGTTCCAGGCAAAGGAAAACAGCAAATTCAAAAGACCCAAAGCAGGAACCAGCCTGGCAGGTTCTGGTGACTGAGGAAAATGGGAAGATGAGATTGAAGAGGTAGCCAGGGGCCAAAACTCAGAACAGGCTCTTCATGTCTACAGTAAAGTTTGGATTTTATTCTACATGTAATGGGAAGCCACTGAAAAGGTCTCAGGCTATGTGTCATGTTATGATTTACGTTCTTAAATGATCATGCTGGCTGCTATGTGGAGAATGGACAGTAAGGGGATAGGACAAATGGAAGCAGAGATTTTAGTCTGGGGCCCATGGCAGATTCCAGTGCCCACACACCTAAAATTGGAAACAAAATTACATGCATATGTTCAACATGCATTTTTCCAGGGAGAGGATCCATAGATAGCATTTATCAAATTCCCAAAGTAAGCCCCTGCAGTGAAGAATCAACGGCATACACTACTAGCTGGCCATCAGTGAAACATCCCAGAACACTGCACAGCAGATGGCAATGCTGCATGTAAAGTTCAACCTATGGCACAAGATACCTTGAAGTGCCTTTTGAATCCTCAAGATTAAATTATTTTATCATTTAGTATTAGTACATTTTAAATATATTATATAAATGGGCTACCAATCATTATATATTTTAGAATATTTGACTATAAAGGAGCAAGGCTGGGAAAGTCACATTTATAGAGCACCTTCATGCTCTGGCGCAGTGGTTAAGCGTTCAGCTGCTAACCAAAAAAAAGGTTGGCAGTTAGAATTCAGCAGCAGCTGCTCCTTGGAAACCCTATGGGGCAGTTCTACTCTGTCCTATAGGGTTGCTATGAGTCGGAATCAACTCGACGGCAACGGGTTTGGTTCTTTTTTTGGTTTCGTGCTAAGGACTACACGATACCAGGTTTCTCACGTTGATTTCATAACACATGAGACCTAGAAGGTGCATTTGCCTTGCCGAAGAAAGGCCACAGCTCTTCTCTCTGGGCGGTGACCACCTTGTACCCTAGTGACAGGGCCTGTGAACGCATCCTACCTCCTCTACCACTAGGTAGCTACATGGAGCAAGGCCCACACCTCCTTGTCTCTCTCTTCCCTATGGCCTATGGAGAAGTACTTTGGTCTCCTCAGAAAATGTGTGTTCAAGGAACATGCGTGGGTGTGCTGTATTCCATTTCTGGCTCAGTTAGCAAAGCAGTGCCCTTAATAGAGCCTGGCAGCTCTTCTGCATATGCTGTATTTCTAAGAAGACAAAAGAGCCGCTATGGTCTGTCCATACAATCCTGTGATATCGTAATCCTCAGCATTAGCACTCTTTGGGAAACTCAAAAAGACAGAAAAAGAAAAGACTTTGCAAATCCTAAGTATGTACTACTCTTCCTTACAGACTAGATTCTCTTCCATTTAATCTCCCTCAGTTTAAGCTCCAGCTTCTCTCCAATAAGATATGTTCAATGAATCCTAAAATTTAAAAAGAACTGGAAGAACCTCAATAGATCACTAGTCTAACTCATTTTTCAGATGTGGATGCTGAGCACCAGGAAAGCTGCTGATGTGACCAGGTAGCTGAGAGAAGTCTTCAGATACTCATTATTTCAATAAATAAATACTGAACCCCTATGAGCCACGTTCTGAGTATGTAATAAATATTACATGGTTTTTACCCGCAGAGTTATATAAAGCATCAGTGAGGAGCATGGATTCTAGAGTAAGGCAGACTTGGGTTTAAATCCTTGCTCTACCACCTACCAGTTGAGTGACCTTAGACAAGATAATTTACCTCTGTGAACCACAATTTCCTCATCTGAAAACAGTCCTTAACAGTTACTGGTATACGTGCTAAAAGATTTCTGCAACTTACTTTGAGATATAAAAATGGATTGGTGGATGGACAGATGAATGGATGGACAGACATGTGAAAAAGCAACATAGCAAAATGTTAACTGTAAAATTTAGGCACATGGTGTTCGATGTACAAGTCTTTCAACTTTTTTGTCTGGAAATTTTAATACAGTAGGTGAGGAACAATTAACATTAGGTTTGAGGTGGCAGACAAGATGATGGAGATAAAGCTGCTTAGCACAGTGCTTGGCACCTAGAAAGCATTCCACAAATGTTAGCTATTTGCGGTAGCAAGTCCTCAGTAAGCCAAAGCTGGATAAAGGCAAATTTCAAAATCATCTTGACCCTGTCAATATTTCCTTTTTGGAAAGATAATGTTCAAAATGGAAACTAGAGGCTTTTCTTTGGCCCTTTTATAGCACAATCAGGCTGTGAGGTAAGCCTCTTAACCGATATAAGTTCAAGTTCTTGTAGCTGCTAGGTCATGACTATGACCTTAGAGCAGGCAGGCTGAGACCAGGGCTGTGAGATCAGAGAGAGAGCACCAATTTGGGAGTCACACATACACTTGGGTGCAATCCCAACTTTACCATTACGAAGCTGAGTGGCAAGCGGACAGGTGAAGTGATCTCTCCTGCCCTTAATTTTTCCATCTGCCAAAAAAAAATAAAAATACAAAGGGCTCGAATAGTATGTGATTATAAGCTAAGAGAAAGGATTTGGCATCATAGCCACTAATAAAAGTGGTTAGCTGCAATGGTCAAAAAGGATGCCTGGAGGGGCTTGCTTATAAAAAAATCCATAGCCTCTGTTGGGACCAT